CCCCAAAACCCCAAAACCCCGTAGATATCAAACTTGGATAATAGTAAGTAAAAATCATAGTATTAAGTCAATAAAAAAATTGAGAGATTAGTGACGTATTTCAATAATTAGTCGAGGGAGTATTTAAAGTTGAGTTTAATAAATATTATAAATATTATTTTATCAGAACAATAGATATCCAAAAATAAAAAATTGTATCCAAATGGAGAGAAAGTTCAAAGCAAAGCAAGTTTAAATAAATGAGCATTTAATGTTCAGACATGGAGACAGTGATGATGATGAAGACTTCGAAGAATTCTAGCAAACACAAATAGGATGGAGATCATATTAAACAAGTTAACTTAGTGCTCTTTAGTAGCTATAATAAACAATAAAGACTTAAGAAGAAAGAGCTCAAGCACAAAACAATTAATAACTTAAAGTTCATAAGTATGAAGAGGAATAAAAATTCTAGCAAAATTAGAGGCCAATATTTAATGCCAGTGGTCTTTCATAAATCTAAACATAAATGGGATCAAATAATTATGTCAGATCCGACCAAGCATAGAACACTGCTAGAGTATATCCTCTGACTAATAAATATTTGCAAGACCTTTTACAAGACAGTAGCTAGAACATCGTCAAAAAATTTATATCAAATTCATTGATTATGGAAAACTTTAAGAGTAAATAGATGCAACAAATTTTTCTACTCAAAGCTTTATCCTATTTATTAGAATTTTGAGTAAACTCCTCTAAGACAACCAAATAAAATAAACTGAACTCAACATCATATCCTAAATTATCATAAGCTCTAGATTTTTTCAAAAACTTGGAACTGATTATGTCTAGGAGGTAATAAATACAAAGTAAAGTCATCACTTCTAATAACGCCTAGATGAAATCACCATTATCTTAGATGTCATTGACAGATTAGCAGATAAATTTCGAACATTAATTGGAAAGTTACCTATACCATCTTTTTCTCAATTAATAAGAGTTGATATAGAAGTTGCATAATAAGGTATAAGTTTAGCTTATCAATATGATAGGTAAGTTGTAATCTTGCAAGAAAAAGTTTTGAAATTAGATTAAAAGAGAATTTAAATAATGCAAGCAAACAATGAAGAAAAGCAAAAATCTGAATAAGCAAGATAATACTAATAAATGAGTAGATTCAATAAAGAAGAAGATTATAAAATGTAGCCACCTGATGATTTCTAGAACATAGATGTGGTCCCATCAACCTTTGAACTAATGACTGAGAGTACTCCATTCCTTAGAGCTATGCCTCAAAACGGTGTATTCAAAGATTCTCATGACTATCTTGATGTAGTCTATAGATTATTGAGAGAGGATGCCATTAGACCTCTGAGAGAAGGAGTTAGATTGATGCTTGAGTAAGATAATTTTTGTTGCATTAACTTGAAATAGATTGAAGGATTAAGAAAGCTCAGGGTTAACTTAATACGAGATAAATAGAAACAAAAATCAACAGCTAAGGGAAGCTGGAATAAGACTCTATGATAATGTTGCACTTTAAGATCTTGCTATTTCAAAGAATTGTTCAGATGTTACCATAACTTTAAGAGTCTTTGAAAAAGGAAAGTAGAATTGGCTGCAAAGTAAAAAACTACTTCCAGGTTCACTTTTAATATTAAGTTCTGATAACTTCAAATCTATGGATTTCTTTCTTGTTTGTGACAGAAATTCATAAGAAATGGCAAGAACATCTAAATACTATCACTATGCTGAAATCACTGTGCAACTTCTCCACAATTAAGAATATGATCTACCAGATAGTCATTAGGATAGTTCTTCTAAAGATGGGAATTCAAGTTCTGACTCGGATGACGATTACTATTTCTATAATGTCTAATAAAAATACTTAAAGCAAAGATAAAAAGAGGCAAGAAGGCTTTAAAGGGAAAAAGCTAGAATTGAAAGAAATAGTTCTCCTGTCCTTAAATATTTTAAACTATTCAAATCTTTTAGTCTTAAGATGATTGAGTCAACAGCATATTTTGAATCATATAGTCATGTTCTAAGAAAAATAAAATCTATGGATAAATGGTAAATATTACCAATGCATCAGTATCTTACTGGAATTGAAAAACAAAAAATTAAACTTCCAAAGGTATTCTAAGATGTTGATGCAAAGAAAAGTAAGGAATTCATGAACTCCATTGCTTTGTCCATGAATAAAGCTAATTTTGACAAAAATTAGTAGGAAGCATTAGAAACTTGCATGTACAATGAGTTAGCTATTATACAAGGCCCTCCTGGAACAGGAAAAACATACGTAGGAGAACATTTTGTTAGAATCTTATTAGAGACGAAGGAATATTGGAGAAATGATAAAGGGCCTATTTTGCTTGTTTGCTATACAAATCATGCACTAGATTAATTCCTTAATCTAATAAAAAAATACTCCACAAATTTTGTAAGAATTGGAGGAAGATGCAAAGACCAAAGCTTAATGTAATATTCTGTATAACAATACATAAAAGATAAAAATGTTAAATATTAGAGGGCCTATTCAGATCTTATCAGAGATTTAGAAAAACTTGAAAGCTAGATTAAATAAAAAAACTCTGATGTATAATTAATAGATCTTGGCATTATGAATTCGATGTCAAAATAATCTGAAACACTCAAGTTTATTAATAATATAAAATCGGAATTTAATTATCAGATTACTGAGAAGCTAATAACTCATCTTTCTAAGGATTAGGTTGATTAATGCTAGAAATAATTTAAGAATCTTTAGTTGAAGGAGCCAGACATCGCTATTACCCCAAAACCCCAAAACCCCGTAGATATCAAACTTGGATAATAGTAAGTAAAAATCATAGTATTAAGTCAATAAAAAAATTGAGAGATTAGTGACGTATTTCAATAATTAGTCGAGGGAGTATTTAAAGTTGAGTTTAATAAATATTATAAATATTATTTTATCAGAACATAGATATCCAAAAATCAAAAATTGTATCCAAATGGAGAGAAAGTTCAAAGCAAAGCAAGTTTAAATAAATGAGCATTTAATGTTCAGACATGGAGACAGTGATGATGATGAAGACTTCGAAGAATTCTAGCAAACACAAATAGGATGGAGATCATATTAAACAAGTTAACTTAGTGCTCTTTAGTAGCTATAATAAACAATAAAGACTTAAGAAGAAAGAGCTCAAGCACAAAACAATTAATAACTTAAAGTTCATAAGTATGAAGAGGAATAATAATTCTAGCAAAATTAGAGGCCAATATTTAATGCCAGTGGTCTTTCATAAATCTAAACATAAATGGGATCAAATAATTATGTCAGATCCGACCAAGCATAGAACACTGCTAGAGTATATCCTCTGACTAATAAATATTTGCAAGACCTTTTACAAGACAGTAGCTAGAACATCGTCAAAAAATTTATATCAAATTCATTGATTATGGAAAACTTTAAGAGTAAATAGATGCAACAAATTTTTCTACTCAAAGCTTTATCCTATTTATTAGAATTTTGAGTAAACTCCTCTAAGACAACCAAATAAAATAAACTGAACTCAACATCATATCCTAAATTATCATAAGCTCTAGATTTTTTCAAAAACTTGGAACTGATTATGTCTAGGAGGTAATAAATACAAAGTAAAGTCATCACTTCTAATAACGCCTAGATGAAATCACCATTATCTTAGATGTCATTGACAGATTAGCAGATAAATTTCGAACATTAATTGGAAAGTTACCTATACCATCTTTTTCTCAATTAATAAGAGTTGATATAGAAGTTGCATAATAAGGTATAAGTTTAGCTTATCAATATGATAGGTAAGTTGTAATCTTGCAAGAAAAAGTTTTGAAATTAGATTAAAAGAGAATTTAAATAATGCAAGCAAACAATGAAGAAAAGCAAAAATCTGAATAAGCAAGATAATACTAATAAATGAGTAGATTCAATAAAGAAGAAGATTATAAAATGTAGCCACCTGATGATTTCTAGAACATAGATGTGGTCCCATCAACCTTTGAACTAATGACTGAGAGTACTCCATTCCTTAGAGCTATGCCTCAAAACGGTGTATTCAAAGATTCTCATGACTATCTTGATGTAGTCTATAGATTATTGAGAGAGGATGCCATTAGACCTCTGAGAGAAGGAGTTAGATTGATGCTTGAGTAAGATAATTTTTGTTGCATTAACTTGAAATAGATTGAAGGATTAAGAAAGCTAAGGGTTAACTTAATACGAGATAAATAGAAACAAAAATCAACAGCTAAGGGAGGCTGGAATAAGACTCTATGATAATGTTGCACTTTAAGATCTTGCTATTTCAAAGAATTGTTCAGATGTTACCATAACTTTAAGAGTCTTTGAAAAAGGAAAGTAGAATTGGCTGCAAAGTAAAAAACTACTTCCAGGTTCACTTTTAATATTAAGTTCTGATAACTTCAAATCTATGGATTTCTTTCTTGTTTGTGACAGAAATTCATAAGAAATGGCAAGAACATCTAAATACTATCACTATGCTGAAATCACTGTGCAACTTCTTCACAATTAAGAATATGATCTACCAGATAGTCATTAGGATAGTTCTTCTAAAGATGGGAATTCAAGTTCTGACTCGGATGACGATTACTATTTCTATAATGTCTAATAAAAATACTTAAAGCAAAGATAAAAAGAGGCAAGAAGGCTTTAAAGGGAAAAAGCTAGAATTGAAAGAAATAGTTCTCCTGTCCTTAAATATTTCAAACTATTCAAATCTTTTAGTCTTAAGATGATTGAGTCAACGGCATACTTTGAATCTTATAGTCATGTTCTAAGAAAAATAAAATCTATGGATAAATGGTAAATATTACCAATGTAACAATACCTTACTGGAATTTAAAAGCAAAACATCAAGCTTCCAAAGGTATTTTAAGATCTATTAGTTGATAAAAAGAAAAGAGATAATTTCATAAACACAATTGCAATGTCTATAAATTAGCCTAATTTTGATGAAAATTAGAGGGAAGCATTAAAAACTTGCATGTTCAGTGAGTTAGCTATTATACAAGGCCCACCTGGAACTGGTAAAACTTATGTAGGGGAACATTTTGTAAGGATCTTATTAGAGACGAAGGAATACTGGAGAAAAGATAAGGGTCCTATTTTGCTAGTTTGCTATACAAATCATGCACTAGATTAATTCCTTAACCTAATTAAAAAATACACCACAAATTTCGTAAGAATAGGAGGAAGATGTAAAGATGAAAACCTAATGTAATATTCTGTTTAGCAATACATCAAAGATAAAAATGTTAAATATTAGTAGGCCTATACAGAACTAATCAGAGATTTGGAATTTCTTTAACGCTAGATTAAATCTAAGAACTCTGATGTTTAATTAATAGATCTTGGAATAATGAATTCGATGTCAAATTAATCTGAAACTCTCAAGTTTATGAATAACGTAAAAACAGAATTTAATCATAAGATTACTGAAAAATTAAAAACTGCTCTACCTGGAAAATATAATGAAGGTTACTTGAATTAAAGCTAATAATAATTTAAGAAACTATAGTATAAAGAGCCTGACATAGCTGTTATTTTCTGGCTTGGAATAATTAATATTAATAAGTATATTAGAGAATTAATTGAAAGAATAAAATCAGGTGAATTGGATGAGGATGATGATTACATCTAATATAATGAGCATGATTTAGGCTAAAGAGAGGAGGATTATGATGAAGATAGAAATATTACTGATTCTAACGATCCCCTTTAAGGAAAACTTAAAAATCTTACTCAGCTATATAGCATCCATAATTAATCAGAATTTTACAATGGCTGCATAAATTTTGAGTAATGCATATAAAAAGGAAAATAGCAGGGTAGTCTTCAATGGAATGAGCGATCGAATGAAAATTTATTTGGACTAGGAATAGAGAGAAGATGGCAATATAATAATTACTTTGCTGGAAATCAAGATTTAAATAAATTTGATGACCTTGAAAATCTCATCAGGATATATAGAATGAAATTTCAACAAAAGAAAGAACTATAGTCTATAGTCTACGCAACTGCACTAAATCAAGCTGATGTTGTAGCGATGACTACTACAGGCTGTGCTAAAAATAGTGAATTACTAAAAGATGTAAATTTCCCAATAGTTATCGTAGAGGAAGCAGCAGAAGTTTTTGAGGGTCATATTCTAACTGCATTAAATGAAAGAACAGAACATCTTGTTCTTATTGGAGATCATATGTAGTTAAGACCATCGCCAGCAGTTTACTAACTTGAAAAAGATTATAATTTGAGCATGTCAATGTTTGAGAGATTAGTCAAAAGCGAATTCAAATATACAACTTTAACAAACTAAAGAAGAATGCGACCAGAGATCTCTTAATTAGTGAAATTCCTTTATCCTAAACTCACTGATGATGCAAGAGTGCATTCTTATCCTGATATTAGAGGAATAGAAAAGAACTTATTCTTTATGACTCATTCTTAGCAAGAGGCATCAGATGATAATATTCAATCAAAATATAATGACTACGAAGCTAATATGATTATCAAATTCACTAACTATCTTATAAAGTAAAATTATCAATCAACCCAAATTACAATTCTATCTCTTTACTAAGCCTAGTCTTTTCACATTAAAAATAAACTAAAATAAATGTTCAATGATAAAGATCCAATAAATAAGGTAAAAGTAGTTACAGTAGACAATTTTTAAGGAGAAGAAAATGATATAATTATCCTCTCATTAGTAAGATCTAATAGCTAAAATAACATAGGCTATCTTAAAGTAAGCAATAGAGTTTGTGTTGCACTCTCTAGGGCAAAACATGGAATGTACATTTTCGGAAACTCTTAATGCTTGATAAAATAAAAAGGATTCGATGAATAAGGAAACCTCTGGATTGAAGTTTTAAAATATCTTTCAAAAAATAAATACTATGGAGATACATTGAATCTTTGCTGTAGAAATCACAAAACGATTACACCAGTCAAGAAGGCTGAGGACTTTGATAAGGTAGCTTAAGGTGGATGCAATCTAATATGTGATATTGAAATGAGCTGTGGCCATAGATGCACTAGTGTATGTCATAATTATTAAGTAAATACTAAAGATCCAACTGGACATGATAGTGTTAAATGCATGGAATAATGCCAAAGGAATCATCCATGTGGTCATCGATGCCAATACAAATGTCATGAATGCAAAATTTATTATTAACCTTGTAAATACTAAGTCATTGTCACAATGCCAGATTGCAATCATGTAAACTAAATAAATTGCTCAGAGGTAGGTCGAGCAAGATGCAAGGTTTAATGTGAAAAAATTAAGTATTGTGGTCATAGATGTCTAAGTGCATGTTCATTTGATTGTAGAAACGAAAAATGTCGATAACTCATCCCAAAGACCTTGCCTAACTGTGGTCATTAAATTGAAGTTAAATGCTCAGTTTCCTACGATAAATTGAAAAAATTATTTACTTCAGGTTGTTATGTTAATTGTGGGAAATTACTTGAATGTGGACATACTTGCTTAAAAGCATGTGGTACTTGTTCTTTACAATATTTTCACGGACTCTGTGATAAAGTATGCTCAAGAAACTTAATTTGTGGTCATGCTTGTAATGATAAATGTACAAAAGATTGTTCATAATGCATGAAAATATGTGATATGGAGTGTAAGCATAAAAAATGTCTTAAACGATGCTACGAGTACTGTGATCATTGTGAATAAAAATGCTAAAATGGATGCACCCATTAAAAATGTAAAAATAAATGTGATGAGCCTTGCACTATAGCTCCCTGTCCTAGAGCATGCCCTATTCTACTTGAATGTGGTCACAACTGTATTGGTCTTTGTGGAGATGAATGCCCATCTATATGCAGAGAATGCTAGCCTGATCATTAGGCTTTTGATAATTTTGAGGATGATTACTAATCAAAATTTGTTCAAATAGATTGTGGTCACTTATTTGAATCTACATACTTAGATAGCTTGTTCAAGAAGAACTAGCTTTAGGAGAAAGGAATTTTTCAGATAAGATTCATTGAATGTCCCAGGTGTAATGTCCCTATTAAAAAATGTACTAGATATTATACTTACAATCAAAGAATATTTTAGAACTTAAGGACAATCAAAAATAATTTCATTGGAATTACTGACAAAAGGTTTATTTTAGAATCATTATACAATGAAATTTTAAGAGAGCTAACTTTTATATCTGACTATGATTGTAGAAGAGATCTAGATAAAATTATGTAAGAGTGGCTGGAAGTATTTAAAACTTAAAAGCAACACTATATTCTATTGATAAGTCTCGAGAGGAAATTACATTTAATTTCCTTTATGATATCTTTTGCTAAAACTTTCAAGAAAGAATGGTATTATAATAATGAAGATGGCTAGTTACAAATAGAGCCAGTTAGGAAAATTCTTGAACAAGATGCTTAAATGGCATTTTAATTAATAAAGTAAAAGAAATTTATTGTAACTGCTAATGAGTTTTTGAGATATGAATCTTTAGCCAAGAATTATGATGAGACTAAAGATCTTAAGCATTTATATTCTAAGATTCCCTAATAATTTGGATTATTTTCTGAAAAATGGTTTAGCTGCAAAAAGAACCATCTATTTGCTGTTGGGAATTTCGATGGATCTAAAGAATATTTAAAATGCCCCAAATGCTAGCAAGCTAAGATAGAAGCAATAACTTCAGGTTAATGAATATTTATTTATAATTGGTGCATGATGAAGTATTTAACTCTTTCAGATAATTATTTTAAGATTCCTTTTTTAATAATCATATTTTAATCATATTTCAATATTCACTAAATTATTTATTTAAAGCCTCATGGGGTTTTGGGGTTTTGGGGTTTTGGGGTTTTGGGG